TGGAGAGTTTCTTCAACACTTTTAAGAGTTGATCAATATTTAATTTTATAATTGCCAATGATAAGAATTCTGCTCTTTATAAATACATACTACAAAATGCAGAGTATGTTTAGGGCAATTTTAGAAATTGTTGTATTTAATAATTAAAAAAATAAAACTCAAGTCAGATACTCAAACAAAAGTTCTAACAATCTTTAACATGAACAGTCAAATATGGCATTGTAGGACAATTAATAAAAACCCCGAGTCAGATATTGGGGTTCAACCTGAAGGTCAGAAAAATAAAACAGCCAGCCACTGACTCTTATCTCTACTTCAGTTGGAAATGATGATTCTGCCTCCAGGAATCCTCAGAATGCAACTGTGTCTGAGAGCTGTCCCTCCCATTTTATAATCCTCTCTAGGGCTGGGATTAAAGGTGTGCATCACTACCGCCCGGGGTTCAATGGCAAAGTAGCAAGGCTACTAGGATTAAAGGTGTGTGCCACCACTGCCTGGGCTGTAAGGCAGTTTTACTCTCTGATATTCAGGCAAGCTTTATTTATTCAAATGCAAATGAGATATCACTACATGGCATGGTATGCACAGTGTTCATGCCACAACCTAGGGTCTCAGTGAAGGATTATCTGAGATGCTGGCCCATCAGCATGTCTGTTGGGGATTGTGTGGATTGCTTAGCAAGGACACTATTGAAAAGTTAGGGGTACCATTCCTTGATTTTATACTTGGGCTGCAGAAGAATAGACAAAGCTAGTTCAGTAATAAACGTGTATGCATTCGCTTCTCCCTGCTTGACTGTGGATGTGACCGGCCGATTTAAGCTTCTTCCCTAGGACTCCCTGATAGGCTGGATTTAATACAGAATTATGAGCCAGATGACAACCCCTTTTCTTCTCTAAATGGCTTTATGTCAAGGTATTTCATTATAGCAAAAAAAAAAAAAAGAAAGTATGATGTTCCCCTTGTCAATTAAACTCATGGATCTAGATTTCAAATCCTTTCCTTGTTTAACCAAGTTCCCTCTTGTTTTTTTCCTTTGCATTTCCTGTTATGCCTTTATCTGGGACTGGAACAGTAGCTATGGCATGTGCTTCTTACACACTCCCTGTGCTTGAATCCCTTCATATGGTCATAGCATTCAGACACCCAGGTCTCTTCCTGTCTGAGCATGCATGTCCTGCTCTTGGAGTACTCTAGATTTCTTCCTCTGGAATCTTCCATTCCTGCTTGTCCACCATGACCTCCAGCCCTCACCTGCTCTTCCCTGCCTGTTTGGAGCCAGTCACACTCACAGGCTGTTCCCATCAGGCAGCGCTCCTCTTTCTGAATTTAACCTCCATTTCTCCTTGCCCACAGTCCGTCCCTGCACTCTCTCTGCCTTGACTCGGGGGCCCTCCTGCTTGTCCCTGCCCTGCTGTTACCTGCTCCAAATATGACAAGGATGATTATCAAAAGGGCCTGCTTTCCAGAGATTTCATAAGACAACCTGCAATTTCCTATCCTTCAGTGGGAGAAAGGTTCTCAGTTCAGGAGCTGAACAGAAAAAAAAAAAAAAAAAATGTGAACGGTTCAGGGGAATGCACTTAATCCTCTTCAGTTCTGCCAGAATCTGACATCATTAGGAAGATAAGTAAATAATACTGGAGGCAACATCAAGATAAGATGTAAATGCGCACAGTGCAGCGTGAGCACTTAACCAGCCCTTTCTCTTAGTATTAGTTTCTTATTGCGGTTGAAATAAATTCTACAAACCTAACGGCTCAGAACAAATTTATTTCTCTGCCATTGTTGAGATGAGCAGTCAGAAAGGAGCTCCAGCGAGTCCTGCATATGGCGCTCAGGTGTTGGCGGGCTGTGTTCCCTGTCCGTGTGTCCAGCCAGTATATAGACTGCACGTGGCCACGGATAGCAATGAGTGCAGCCCACTGCAAAATCGTAAATGTAAAAGCTGTTAAGTTTCTGCAGTTGTTTTTGTGTTTGGTTGTACGTCCTTTTGTTAATTTCAAAAGAATATTTATTTTAATTTTATGTGTATGAGTCTTTTGCCCTCATGTCTGTGTACCATGTGCATGCAGTGCCCAAGGTGGCCAGAAGAGGGCACTGGATGCCTTGTAACTGGAGTCACAGATGATTAAGATCTGCTGTATGAATGCTGGAAATTGAAGCCAGGTCCCCTGGAAGAGCAGGCGGTGCTGAGTCATCAATCTAGCTTGATTGTAGTTTTTTGTTTTTTTTGTTTTTTTTTTTTCCATTGTGAACTTTGGAGATGATGATGATGTTTTACAATGACAAAAGTTTGGTCTGCTTGTAAGTGTCTGGGGAGAATGCCTTCCCTCTAATAAATGATACAGTGACCTCCAATTTCCTGTTATAAACAATACCCGTGAGTCAGTTAGCTCCTGAATCCCTCCTTCAGATTCCAGTGGGCAGCAGCCTCCCTCTAACCTGTCCTTCTGACCATACCTCCTTCTCTGACGCTCATGCTCCTCCTCCCCCTCTTTAGCTTGAAAGCCTTTGTGGTACATTGATCCCAGGTGTGTGTGTATTATATATACACACGTGCACACATATGTATATGCACATATATGTTTATATACGTATATGTTTGCATTTTCACAGGTTCTGGGTATTAGGCTGTGCGAATCTTTGGGAGGGGAGCTATTATTGCACTGACAGAATTTTTCTTTGCTGTTTTCATGGTTAATTTGCCAACTCTTGTAACACCAGAATGTGCCTTAATGGTAAGTGTTTTGTGTGCCTTCTCATTTATCGCCCACAGTGGCTCCACAGGTGAGAAGTTTTTGATGAATCTATTGTGTATGGAAAGAAAGAGAGGGGAGGGGAGAGGGAAAGAAAGGAAAGCTTTATAAATAAATTGGGTCAGACAATATCTAACTAATCCTCTATCACTGACTCATGCATGTATTAAAGTGTTCTTGCGTTGCCTTGCTAAGAAAGGGTGAAGATGGAACACTTTGGGTGACCATGTATCTTCTGAAATCCCCTCCCCTATACACTCTGTACCTTTTCCAAATCAGGGTTTGATTCTTCTATTTTCCAGAATCTTTTCAACATTCTCATCACACTATTGTGAAGTGGGGTGTTCTTTAGTATCTGGTAGCTTTTAGTACCCGGGCCTAAGCTGTATTATTTCTTGCAAGGATTCCCCAAGGCATGCACAGGTGTTTGGGGGCTATAGTCCCAATGACTTCTGCTCCCTTATGTGACTTTATTTTGGTCATGCTGGGTTATTTCTAGCATGGGAGGAAGGTGTGGCTACCTTTCTTGTTGTCCTGATTTGGGGAAATGCCGTTTTCTTTAGTATTTGGGAATGCAGAGGTGATTCAGTTTGAGGTTGAAAGTCCTAAGAATGTTAAAACATTGTAGTGAAGGAAATTGTCCTCTTTGACTCCCGCGACTAATTTGAAGCAGGTCTCTCCTCTGGTGGGAGCATTGGTGACTGCTTCCTGTCTCTTGGTCTGCCGTATCCTCATGGGCTCATCAGCTGCCCTGCCCATTCCTGTATCCCTATCTTAACATGTCCCTCATGAGAGGTAGATTGGAAACTGACATGAAAAAAATGGGTTTTGCACATGGATAGATTATGTACTTCATGGGAGAAGCAAAAGAGATCTTATCTGGAAAGACATGGGGCCTGGGAATCATAAATAGCCAGGTTTCTCTAAATCCAACCAGACAATTAAAACCCTCGGTTTCACTTGAGAGATAAAAATTACATTAAAGCAGGCAATGGGGATGAAGTCTTAGGGAAAAATGTTTGAGCTGATGCGGGGAAGCCTGGATGAGGGATGTGTTTGCTCTACATATTTATTTAACCTCTCTGACATTTGATTCTTCTGAGAAGAGCAGCAATAACACACACCTCAACAAGGCTGTGAAGATTAAAATGGAGGATTACACAAAAGCACCCAGCTCGGGATCAGCTGCATACTAGGTGCTTAGTAAATATCCACTCAAAATGCATCCTCATGCATGCCTTCCCAGCTACTACAGCTCGCTACTGTGAAAGAATCTATTTAACCCAAAACATCACACCTAAAATTCAGGTTGCTGAAGACAAACACTTATGTGTATTTGCCCTGATCCTACAAATCTTGGTAGAGTTGGCATAGGAAAATGAATGGGATTTTTGTCTCTTGGGGACTCATGGTCTCAAGTGGGGAACAGTCATGGACCAGGATGTGGGAAAGGTTTGCACAGTACAGAGAGGCACAGCTGCCTTTCAGATGGTGGCGTGATTGATGAGGGAACTTCCTAGAGGCAGTGGCAGGCTAAACATTGATTAGTGGGAAAGGGACTGTTCCCAGGGATGTAGAACATTCCAGGCAGAGGAAAGAGGGCATGGCAAAGAGGAGAGGTGGAAATTATCTACAGTGACAGTCTAGGGCCAATGGGAGTCAAAGCCATTAAGACATTGATCAGCAGCTGAGGATCTGAGAGCAAGGCAGATTACTAATACTCTGTGTGGGCTGAATTGTTTGTTAATCTGCCGAAGGCTGTCTTTGGGGAAATACTGCGGTTACTGCTTATGAGACTGAAGGAAAATAAGAAGCAGGAAGGTTAAGGGAATAAAGCCAACTCCAAAAGTGTGCTGAGCCAGGAGCTGAGGCAATTAGGAGAAGCTTTGGTCCCAGTTCCTCACAAGCAGACATCCTTCTCCTTGAATCAGTTTTTCTTGCCCTCCCTCTCTTCCTTTCTTCCTATTTTTTGAGACAGGGTTCATTATGTAGACTTGCCTCAAACTTGGAAGCCATCTGCCTCAGCTTCTAGAATGCTGAACTAACAGACCTGTGGTAGTACATTCAGTGGGTGGGGTTTGAGTCAGAACCATAGCTCAGACTAGATGGAAGCAGTTTGTCATTCTATTTCAAGGAAGTCCTAGGCCCCTGGAGCATTCAAGGGTCATGGAGTCTATGTTGAAGGTTTCTAGGAAGCCCTGGTGCTATGATTTCTTCTTCCTTTTCTTCCTGTGTCTTCAGCAATGGAATGGCAGAGACACGGCCCTCATGGTCACTCGTGTGGTCAACCACAGGCGCTTCTCGGCCACTGTCAGTGTGGCAGACACCTCTCAACGCAGCATCTCCAAGTATCGCTGTGTAATCCGCTCAGATGGTGGGTCCGGTGTGTCCAACTATGCAGAGCTGATCGTGAAAGGTGAGTGCCACCTTGCCACAACTTTGCCAACTGGCTGGATGCAGGATCTTAACTCCATTTTTATACAGCTAGCCCCTTCTCTCGCCTGTTGCTTCCTTGTCCTCCCAACAGCACAAGACAGGTTTACAGTCACTGTTCTCCAGAACGTTCTCCCATATGAGATAGCTACATGTGGGATATCTACCACAGACGCAACCTGCAAGCTTGACTTGAATTTGTATTTCAAATCAAGATGATCACATGTCCTTTGTGGTTTAGGGATGTCCTACTGAAATGTTCTCTTAGAATTGTTTGTGAGGGTTTTATAGCTGCAAGTTTCCTATAATGACAGTATTTCAGGAAGACTGTTGAAAGAGGGAGCCTACCTCCCAAATGGTCTTGAGTCAACGCTCATCTGTTTTCTTGTGTTTGTTCACCTTGAGGTATGTCCATGATTTCCCTTACAATATGCACATGGGCCCTGCCTTGATTACTTTCCTGTTGCTAGGACAAAACACCATGACTGAGGCAGCTTATAAAATAAAACATCTAATGTGAGGCTCATGGTTCCAGAGGGCTTGAGTCCATGATTATCATGGTAGGAAACACAGAAGCAGACAAATAGGCATAGATCACCATCAGGAGCAGAAGCCAAGCACACACATCTTGATCTACAAGCAGGAGACAAAGCGAGGACTAACTGGGAATCGCCCTGGCTTTTAAAACTTCAAAGTCCACCCCCACTGACACACCCCTTTCAACAAGGCCTTACCTATTAAGCCTTCCTAAAAAGTTCTATCGACTGGGGACCAAGTATTCAAATGTCTGCGCTTCTGGGGGCCATTCTCATTCAAATCCCGCATTCCCTTTCCTGCCTCTTTGGAGGACTTTGGCAAACCCTAGGCCTACTAAAGCTCTTCTTTGAGTTGTCCTACCTATCAGGCCCATGCCGTTTGTGCTGCTTTGAATGAGCCCAGTCCTCACAGGCTCCCACATCTGAACACTTGGCTTCAGGGTCCTGGCACTGTTTGAGAAGGCCATGGAACCTTTAGGAGGCAGAGCCTGGCTGGAGGACGTACCTCACTGGGGACGGCTTTGAGCGGTCAGAGCCTGGGCCTCACCCGGCTTCTGCTTCGCTCTCTGCTTTGTGTTTGTGACTGAAGATGTCCTCTCTCGTCTTCCTGTTCTGGCCGCCTGCTGTTGCCTCTCCCTCCATATGGACTCCCCTCTATCACCACAAGCCAGAATAAACTCTGCCTCTGGTCATGGTGTTACACATCAGCAGAAAAGAAACGAATGCCCGTTCAGTCCAGTGCATTTCCCTCTTTAAAAATCTCCATATTCACAGTCATTTAAGTATTTCCAGGTGTTTCTGTTTATATCATTTCTTCCTTTGAGTGTGCAAAAATTAACAACTCAGTACAGTTTTTCCAAAACAACAACTAATAATAATAATTTTAGGTTTTTTTTATTATTATACAGAACCAGATTCTTTCCTTAGATAAATCTCTGGAAGTTGAATTGGTAGACCAAAGCATATGAATATCTTTATGAATTTTCTTCTCTCTATTGTAATATTGCTTTTGCAAAGAATGGTTTGGCGGTTTACACAGGCAGCAATAGTGTATGAATGTATTAATTTTATCACTGCTATGTTCACTGATTAAAATTTCAATATAGCAATATTTAGTGAATGAAATAATGAACCTGTTTGGATTGTGCCAGCTGTAGAATAATACCTGCTGTGTTTGAAGGGAGAAAATAGCGCCTGATTCTCAGAAGGCTCTGGCTGTTTGCGGTTGCTGCTCTCACTGCTGCTATGCTTTTACTTGAGCATGGATTGGTGTAAAAACTTTAACTTCTCATTGCTGGCTCTGTGGGACTGGTGGCTTCAATGGGACCAGATTGGAGAGCACTGCCAGGACTCTGTGTTCTGAGCTATCCTGACTCTGTAGATAGTCATGGAGGATGATGTATTAACACTCACATCACCCTTGTTTCCTCTCCTACTGTGATGGGCAAGAAGGACTGCCAGTTTGACAGGGTCTAGATTCACCTATGAGACAAGCCTCTTGCTGTGCCTATCAGGATTACCCAGATTTGATTGGCCTTGGGACGTACCTGTGTTGGATTACTTATATTGAATCAACCTGGGAAGAATATCTTAGCTATGGACAGCATTGTTACATGAGCTGAGGTCACAAACTGAATAATAAGAAAATGAGCCCAGAAGGAGCATCACCACCCTCTGCTTCCCAAATGTGGATGGAATGTAACCAGCTGCCTTGAGCCGCTGCTGTCTACCACAGCGGACTTCATTCTGGAACCGTGAGCCAAATTAAACCTTATCTTCAATTGCTTCTCCCAGGATATCCTAGCCCAGCTCAGCAATAGGGAAAGGATATAGTGCACCGGCATGGCTCTTACCACACTTCCCTTTGCTTGTGCTTCATTTAGGCCCCCTTTTCAGACGTGAGCTCTGGCAGTGTGAGGGTCTCTTTCAAGGCTTACACCTAGCACGGGTTCTGTGTGCACTGAACGACAGAAGTTGCTAGTGTTTGACTGCTTTCATCGGCATGGTCCATCATTTCCTGAGTCTCACTTTAAGATTTCTGTGCACTCTGAGTGCATATTGGCTTCCGCAGGCACTTACTCCATCACCAGAATGTCATGCACCTTCAAGCCAAAGATCAACAAATGAGGTGGTCATGAACAAAATAATATTTAAAAAGGCACCTTTAAGTTCATTCACATGAAGTGCCATTAAAGTATAAAAGAAACCATCACTTTGATTGCATTAGGTTCAGATCTTAACTTTTCTGGTCCCATAAGATTGATTCGTGTGACACAGTGGCCTTTGCAGGCCTTTCTAATACTCAGTGACTGTGTAATTTCCTGAGCTGTCTCCTGGAACACTCACTGTGCTTTTTCATAGTTGATTTCCCACTCTGCTTTGGGAGTCCCACAATAGAATGCCCCATTCTCTTATGCTTTCTACCGTCTTATTGGTGAAATTTTTTTTTGACTTCTCTTTGCTGACTCTGTGTGACTGGTGGCTTCAATGGGACCAGAATGGAGATTACTGCTTGGACTCTCTATTCTGAGCTATCCTGACTGCAGCTGGATAGTCACATGGAGGGTGATGTATTAACACGCCACCTTGTCTCCTTTCGTAGACAACAGCAACTGCCAAGCCTTTGGCTGTCTATCAGGAGGTACCCAGATTTGTTTGGCCTTGGGACATAACTGTGAGGCACCCTGCACATACCTGACTAATGCAGAGTGGTGGTGGTGGTGGCGAGGTGATGGGAAGGTCCCTGGCAGTCAGTGCTGTACCTTGAAGTTTGTACTCATAGAAAAACAGGGTGGGAAAATGCTTGCTTTGTTCTTTCCCTCTGTCTTCTACTCAGAGTCAGAATGAAGAGGTGGAGAAGTGTTGATCTATGAGCTACCGAGGCAGGGGGATTGCTGAAGCGATGCTCTCTTGGCTTGGAGAGGTGGCCACTGGGACAGTGCTTTGTCCTTTGTTGGCTGTACCAACTGGGGCCTAGTGAAGGCAAAGCATGGAGTGTGAATTCTGTTCCCGGGTGCATTAGTCAAATGTGTGATTGTGACCCCTCCATAACCCCTTCCCCAGCAGCCCATGCTCTCCTCTGAGAGGTGACTGGGAGCTTCTGTGGCTCCTCTGCAGCGGGCAATGATGCATTAGTACTTTCTGTAATCCGGCCCTGTTTTATGACACCTTGATGAAATTTATCCACTTTTTTTGGCAGAGGATTTCACTTTTTAAGTGCCCCTTCCTCTCCATTTTAATATTGAGTGGGTGATAAGCCATTTGCTTGGTCCCCTCACATATGCTGTCTCATTTGATCTTAACTGCAGCTATTCACATTGGTTTTATTTCAACTTCTTTTATAGCTGAGAGAGCCAGCATAGCAGGGTTGACGAGATGAGGGTCATCCTAAGGGGAGAGTTAGGCTTGGATCTGAGTCTGAGGTGGATTGCTATAGCTATGTTGCGGGGAGGGGGCTGGGGATTAGGGCTTTGTTGGCTCCTGGTATCACAAAGTTATAATCAGTGCCAAAGGGATGTAGATAACAGGCAAGCAGGTAGAGACGCTCCCCCAATACATGTAAGGCAGTGAGAGGCAGGGTTACTCAGAGGTACCCAAAGGAAACCTGTCAGCTTCCAGTCTGTGACCAGTGGCCACTTGAAGGCAGGGGACGAGAGCATTTGAGGGCAAGGTCTTATGAAGAATGATTCTCCCCACTAAAGGCCCTTAGCCTTGGCTGAGCCAGCGGCTTGCATGCTTCCGTTCTGAAATACTTGTATTTAAAATGAAAAGAAGAATAGCAGCCATCCTTTTGGTGAGGAAAGGAGAAATATCTAAAAAACAAAAGTAACTGACTTCCTAAGGGCCATCTGCTGTTGAAACAGTGGCCCCCACTGCCATTCCTCCCTCTGAGTGACAATGGCTTTTGCTCATCACACAGTTTGCATGGACCAAGGAGTCAGACATGAACATTCAGCTGACTTTGGGGCACTGGGTAATGCAAAGGATCCTTGTGTGTGTTTTCCTTGCCACACACACAGTAATGCCTGAATCAAGATGCCTCGCTTGGAATCCGGGACCTATCTTGATTCATCTCTGTGACTTTGAACAGGGCCTAAAACTCTCAGGGCCTCAGCAGATTCATCTGGGAGTTGAGTTATAGGGTTTTGTCCCTGGGAGGGTGTCGTGAGGGTGAAACGGGATGACCAGTGCAGGAGTGTTCAGAGCTGTGACTGACCCACGTGCTCTGAGGGTTAGCCAATGAATGGCACATCAGGTGTGACTCAGTGACCAGAGCCTCACCCAGTACCTCTGTGGCCTTGGAGAAATCATTTAAGGCCTGTGCTTAATCCCCATGTAGTAATGCTTGAGCAGAAGGAAGGAGAGATGCATGAAAATAATATCAGCATTATGTGGGATAGGTCAGAGGTCTCTGGGTCTCCTCTGGTGTCTGCCTTTGAGGAGTTAC